ATCGACCGCAAGGCCGCACGCGGCGGCGACGCAAGGTGCGTCAGCAGCAGCGAGACCACCTCGGGCGACCGCAGCGACCCGAGTGCCAGGCTGTGCTCGGGCAGCGCGAGCTTGCCACGGACCAAGAGCAATTGCTTGTGCACCTCCGAGACCGAGACCACGGTCAGCGCGCAGTCGCCAGAGCGCGTCTCGCTGGACCTGGAGGATCGACGCGGCAAAAGACTCGAGCTTGAAGCGAAGCAAGCGGCCAGCATTGCACACATGGCGAAATGATCGGCACCTCTCCTCGCGCTTCATTCGCTGATTATCCTCCAATCCACGGACGCGATGCCAAAGATCAGCAATTCGCCGCTTTTCATTGGTGGGTATTTCGCCAATCCACGTGCACGACAAACCCCGTGCAAACTTGAGCTGATTATAGACTTCACAACCGGACAATCGATGATAGGGTTGTGAATGTACAATAACCAAGATACTTCTGATGGCGTGACTGGCCGTAGCCGCGGTTCCCCAATCGTAGATCCTTCATTTTGGCGAGTTTAGAGCTGCAAAATGCATCAAATTAAAGGTAATGATACGGCCTCGCATCTAGCTAAAAATCTACCAACTATCGTCATGTGAAGTCACAGATCGACCAACGGGCTTGGATGGGCGTATCGCATTACCTTTGCTGGGGACGCACGACCCCGCCAATCCGCGGCTCGAAGGGACCTCAACGAAACAACTATCCTAGAGGGCTGATGGCATCACAATTGGCTCCGCGGCTCGGCCAAGCAGTCGCTGTCGAGCACTCGATGGTTCTGCCAAGACAGTCGACGTTGCTTCCTCGCGCGTGTCTAGTGCGCCTTGTCGTGGCCCGTGCGCGCTTCCATGTTGGCACTGCCATGTAGTATGGGAGTGGCGACGGCGGGGTCCATCATCGTTGCATGAAGCCATGACGTCTAGCTCCAGTGCCAACGTCAAGCCATCAAGATGTTGTCCAATACGTAAGACGGAATGGACGAGGACATTGCCACCGCGCCGGTTCTTTTACAAAGAAGATTTGCTTGCGACAGAGTCGACAGTGTACGCCGACACTGAGGATCTCTGGGGCGAGTACGAAGCCTACTGCCACACGCACAAGGTCCCGACGAACGAGCACTTGCCGCGGACATCGGTCCCTGGATTGAGCCGCGGATGGCACCCGATGCTTTAAGCTTCGAGGTATCAAGTCATCAAGAATGTCGAGCGTCCCAGTCGCGAGTCGGATCATAAACCCGGTGAATCCATAATGCTATGAACTAACGCAAATTGGTACAGCATCACTCTTCTCTAATGCAATCAAACTGCTACCTCCGAGCCTACAGTATATTGTCCTGCATCATTGGAAACCCAGTTGCAGGTCGGCTTGTGCCTAGGGCTAGGGTAGGTGTAGGGTAAATCGAGCTCGTCGATGGAAGAGATAGCATGTGCTCGCTGCGTTTGTGTACTACATAACACATTTGGACTGTATACAAATATTGAAAAATGCATTTAGTCGCTCAATCGATCGATGGATCACGTGGCTTACGCGTTGGCCGCTTGCTCGATGCGCAATACGGGGCTTTGCATCGATAACCCTTTCCTTCAACCACATCCACCAATCAAAAGTGGGTCTTGTGGATCCAAAAACTGTCCATGGCACTCGGGTCAGTTTCACCCGATTTATACTATCGGGTTGCTGCTACGTGCGAGCTCGAGGCGCTTGAGCAGCATGCGAATCTTGACGGTATCCGCGGGGAACGCGTCGCCGCAGTCGTCGCACTCGGCTGTCGTCATTGGGTAAGCCGTGCTGCACGTATGACACGGGATGGTCGATTCAACGCGAAGGCCTTGCGCGGCCGCCACTTCCAGCCGCTCCACAAACAGTGCAAGCCTTTGCGACGATGGTGGCAACGACTCGTGACATGTCTCGCAGGCGTCGTCCAGGAAGCTGTTGGTCGCGGTACACCGTTGACAAATGAGATCGTTGGCCACGACCTTCTCGATGCTTCCGCCCGCATCCGTCTAGTGCCAGAAGAGGGTTAGGTCATACACGCTGTGGCGTATACCTTGGCGTTGCCACTCTCTGGCGGTGATTCGTGGGGGGTAAGCTCGACTTCAGGTATGCGCGACAGCAGGTGGCTCGCAGAAAGCGGCGCCGAGGAGCCCAACGATGAGTCTTGCTGACGAGATACCGGTGCCACCTACCCTTTGTTGAGTTGAATACAATTCTATCAAAGTTTGTACCTGAGCTATCAGAGGCGTCGATGCACTCGGTTTGCGACGGAGTAAAGTTGGCGGCATCTCAGAATTGGCGTGGTTGAGCTGGCGTTCAAGGACGTTGACAACGTCGTGGGCTGTCGGACGCTGCGTCGGGTCGGACGCAAAGCACGCTGTCGCGAGCTCTTTGAGCCAGGGCGCGCAAGTCGGCGTCAGACTCGGCCGAAGCGTGCCGTTGCGGACTCGGTCCATGATACCCCAGAAATTGATACCCGGGACATCTGCATATGGCAGCAGCAGTGTGTCCAGCTCGGACAAAATGACGCCAAATGCGTAGATATCAGCTGCAAAGCTGTAGTTGCTGCCGGACGTATAGACTTCGGGGGCTGTCCAGTACGGCGTGCCCTTGCCCGTCGTCATCTTGGACTTGCACTCGCGAGCAATCCCGAGGTCGGCGAGCTTGATGTAGTTCTCGGAGCAGAGGAGGACGTTCTCGCTCTTGAGGTCGCGGTGAAGAAGACCAGCTTCGTGCAAATCGGCGAGGGCATTTGCAACGACCCATGCGACTTCGAGTGTCGACACGTTGACCTTGGTGGGTTGACCGAGCCGCTTGGCGTC